GAATAGCCTTTACATAGATATGATTATTATTCTTACTTACTTTTATTTCATTTTATTACATCGTCATACTACACAAAAACTCACCACTATCATTTTCTCAAAACAGAGAGAGAAACACGAAACAACAAAATAATGGTAACCTATCTAAATACAACGGTACGAAAATATGCATATGAAGACTATTACTAGTAATAAAAGTTTTAAATTCTAAGAGCTTTATTCATAAAGTCGATGTAATGACGATCCATACTAAACTAACGTCAAGTGAGGTTGCGAGTCAAAAATCTTGGTCGCAGAGAGCGGGCGATGGGCCACAAACTGATAAGTGAATTTCCTATCGCAATATCGACGATGCCCTCTTTGTGCTTCTTAGCTTCCGTAGTTTTAGTCCCACTGACGCCCGCATTCCTAACTTAGAAAGCACCCAAAGATAGGATAGGTTCATGACTTTTATCCTTAGTTTCATTATCTAAACATTAAACATCGATTATTATTAGTCTCGATTTAAATACAATATAACATGCATTTTTATCATTGCAATTTATGTTAATAAAAACAATTGAGTGATTTTGAGTAATTTTTTTTTATGTATCATAAGGTGGCAAACGAGCGAGCGGCCACCTGAAATCGCTGAAATAGCGAAGTGTTCGTTGCCCATAGACATACGCAATTGCATATGCGTTACCTACCTTTAATCGACGGAGGAGAGGATGCACAGAAAGAAAACATTTTCCCTTTCCATCCATCCTCTCATCCGGAAAGTCCATTTCCACTTCCTTATAAGAAAAAGTGTGGGAAGGGAAAGAGGACTAAATTAGGCCTCCGGGACGCACAAAATATCTAAAGATATACGCAACCCTAAGAGCAATTTGAAATGTCGGTAAAACATTGGCCTGTTCAGTTTCCGACTTTCAACAGATAATAATTTAAAATAAAAATAAACTGGTCAACGAACAAAGAACAGAGTTATGGACAAATGTTTTGCAACGCGGCCAACGGCCAAATATCGTTAATGGTACTTCCCGAAATAAAATTTCGGACGAGTTAAATGCACTTTATTTGCGTGCGGTCAAAGTATTTACACAGCTCCGACATAAATTATGGAAGCGAAAGAGTTTTCCTGTTTGAGAACGATTTGTTTGCTATGTTATTGCTTCCTTTAAACATTACGTAGGCACTGCATCCAAAAAGATAAATAATTTGCAATATGAATTGTAAAAAAAATATTTAAAAATAAAAGCATAAAGGTATGTAGACTTATGATGATTTTAAGACGAAAGTGTTTATGCTTCTATCAGACAGGTAAATAACATTGAATGCCAAATAATTTGTGAGAAATTAATAAATATAAATAGCGTGTACTCAAAAAGCATTACAAACATAATATATGTATATTTCAAAACTGATTCACAACATATATCCGGCTACATGGACGTCGTCTTTGATATTGTCCTTATAAATATTCAAAGGTGAAATAAATAACTTTTTACAACACTAATTCGTTTAGATACATTCTTTAGTAAAGCGTCAAGAGCTAAACATTTCGACGGCAAATAAAACGTCGTGCATTCTCAAAGACCACTGGCAGTGAGCCAAATGATACGTATGCAGTCATTTGTCCATCCGTCCGAGCGTCCGACGGTCAACGCGCCGGGCAACAAACGCGCGGGCATGCGTTACTCACTCCCTCTTTTAAATAGAACATTCTTTGTCTGCTACTCCCCTGGTATCCCAAAAACAAAGGCGCTGTCTTATTTTAACTTAAAATACATCACAAGTACCACCAATAATACCAAACCGTGTCACAGAATTACATGAAAAACAATAACAAACAATGAGATTATGAAAACGAAGAATGATGTTACAAGATATCTCCGGAACGGCTGCATGTATCTCGCTGAAATTCGTCATAGGTGCAAACAAAGTCTGAAAGAACGCATAAGCTACTAATTAGTTTTTTTTAAGTTCCGCACGGATAAATTCGCATGCGACAACTAGTGAAGAAATAAATAGCCAGACATAGTATTGTGGTAATGTATAATAACCGTTATTATGACGAAGCACATTTTTTTTTCAAGTTCCGTCTGATCCGCGTAACTATTATCGATTTTAATACAAAGTACGCAATATTCGATAGAATAAAGTAAAACGGTCAACACAACAGCGGATAACAATACGTGCGATGATTTTGCATAATTTTATTGATCTAAATACCCGTAGATCATTGATCATTCGGTCAATAATACGTATTAAACATGTCACTCTCAGCTAGTGATGTGACGTATGTTAATTTCATCGACATATGTAATATGTAATAATTTTAAAAATTATCTCAGTTAACTTCTTAAGTCTTCCTTATTGAAGTTAAGAATGAGAATTGAACTTACTTTTAACTTTAACTCACAAAAAATTACTTCTCATAAATTAAAAAAAAAACACAGAAAAATAATTTCATGTGGATGTCAGTAATTCATAAATTGCATTATAAGCATATATTGTAACTACAATTAAAAAGTTTAAATTAAATATGATGACTGACACAAGTATTTATCGATATCTTGTGACTATTATCACAGTTCATCACTATATCGATTTTGTGCAAATCTCAGTTGACCGATGGTGCGTGCCAAATGACACGATCGATCATTGGTGCGATGACTTTGTGTCTGCAAGGACCAGGTGTGTAGTCTCGTTGCACGTCCTTTGTAAACTTGAAAACTGTATGCATCTCGCCTCGCCTACTCCATCCACTTTATAGACTACGCTATTCACTTATAAGCTTTCACTTTTAGAAAAAACCCAAATTGAAAGAGCTTTCGGTAAATATACTTTACAAATTATTATAATACCATTGATTTAGAATAGTTACTAATATTGATTGCTTAATTCTGTATCCCTTTAGGAGCTTGAGCTGACACTAATAAATACTTTATTTTTGTATAGTATTATTAAATTTAAATAAGAAAACCCTATCCACAAATGTGAATAATGATCACAAATTCTTCAATAACGAGATAATAAAAAGTTATCCCAACCTCTCGCTTTTCAAATCAAACACGCAAACAGCCGGCCAATGTTTGCACCCTCGTACATTGTTTGACCAAACTTTTCGCGTCCCAAATCTCGGTTAACACGTCGCAACCCTTGTTGCCCAATAAAAATCAACCGAGTCCGGTGCGGATATCGGAACTTTCCCGCGTTCAAAAATTCACCAAAACTGCAGACATCTTATTACTAGAGACAAGCTAAAATATGATCTATTTTCTTTGCAATAAAGATCAACTTAAATGCATTTATAAGTTGGTATCAATAATGCTCCCTTTCGGAAGATTTGCCCCATATGTTGAAAACAAGTGAACTGGCTTCTTAACACGCTGGACACCCCAAATTGAGTAAACTCGAGGGTAGGAAATTGCTCGAGTTTTATTGAAATTTCCTGCGGGTGAATATCACACATACTTAAGGGTGCAGATTGATTTAAATGGATTCTGAAAAACTTTTGAAAGAATCCGTGTCATAGTTTTAATATTGAAAATTCCAACATTTTCACCTTTATAAGAACTTTATAATAATTTAAAATTTTATAATAAAAATTGAGGGCCTAACCATAAAAATTACCGTTGTTCTAAGACCAAAATCTCGAATTAAAATATAATAAATAACAAAGTACTTATACTAGCTTGTTTTGGTTATACATTTTTTATCTAAACAGATACTGTTTAGTTTAACAAGGGTTCTCTATTTGTGTTCGTAAATTAACTATTTTTCGAAAAAAAAATAATTGCGTACAATATTCAGATTTTACCATATATCACTATATCTCCCTAAAATTTCTTAACAGATATTGTCACGGACCCTTGGTGATTTATTCATGGTATTCGCACATTGGCACTCCGCCTAACCGGAAGGTTCAATTGGGCGGAAAGGCTTGACCGCCGAGGTCGAGTGACCCTTTCCCTCACCCTTCCGTCTACTAAGGCTTTCATAAGAGCTTTAAAAGGATTCCTTTTGGAAATACCTTATGAATTTATTGCCTATGATTTTATTTTTACGAAATTGTTATACTGAGCACTTTAAAATATATCGTCGAATTGTTTATACACATTTGTTAAAGTGCAAAAGTAGTTTAAAATATACTTAAAGTTTTATATCAGCGAAAATGTACCAAAAATGTTTAATTTCACGTAAGACAATAATTATTAAATTTGTCTTAAGTAATAATGTCATCTACTGTTAAATAAAGTTAAGAAATTTAATACGCAGTTGTTTTTCGGGTCATCTGATAAAATTCGTGAATATAATCTTTTATTTTTACGTATATCTCGCACGAAAAATGTTGCTATGAAAATCTCTGGCAATGACGGCCGCTTGTGACAAAAGGTCTGCCACCTAGCCCGCTTAAAAATTTACCAACAGCATTCAACCTAGGTAATGCAGACGCTGCGAGCGATGAAATACTCTGACTAGTTAGTGTTTTATTTATAAATGACAAAAATCTCGCCCCAACGTAGAGAGGTAGGTAGAGCTTAGGTATTTCTAATTTGTATGAGTACTTATATTATACATTTCTCGCTCCTTTTATATTCTGAAAATTTATCTACAGCCTACAAATGTGTATATATTTTGTACGTACATTATTACATGGACTAGACATTATTAGTTATAATTCTTTGCCACGATTGACGCGCTTTGATTACAAAATCAAGTGTCAGAATGATTAGTGAGTGTACCAGTACAGTGTCGGATTTTTTTTCCTAACAGTACCAATGCATTTAAAATGTAATTATTTGATATACGATATTTTTCATTAAAATTATATCAAAACATCGTTCACAGTCACAACCGTATTCGTTGCTACAACCATGCGATTGAAGGCCCGTGACTAATCGGGTATTAACACTTGGCAATTTTAATTCATTTCCACGGGAAAACCATTGCCCATCTATCAGTAAGAAAAAAACACGTGTAAAGTTATATTTGGAGATAGTTAAAAAAACTCATACTATAAACCAAACACTTTAATATACAAAAACTAAACCAAAACAGAACTTTGATGAGATCTGACATCACTCACATTTACAAGTTGTTCCACAAAAGTTTTATTGTGTCCGTTCAGTTTGAATTACTTCATATAAGATGTACATAAATATACTCTGTATAAAATCAAAAACTATATAAGTTTAAACTCATAATACAATCAAAATTTTTAATAAAACCTGATTGTTTTAGAAACTCTGTAGTATGTTACAAATAAATCTAATTGGATTTAATTCTTAATTGAAATTGTTATTTGATTAAGTATTACGGTTATCAATCAGACGAAGGCAACTTTACCTACCGTTTGTAATAACAATAGTACAGTTACGAAGAAGAAAACAGTGGGCGGGAATGACTTGGACGATTTGTTTTTTACTGAATGTGGCACCACCACTGGCAGATTTAAAGCGTGGTTGTTGCAGCGGTTCAACTGAAAAAATAATGACTTTTTTCATACGAATAGTAAAGCAGAATCTTAACAATATCTGTTGCACGAATGGACCTTCTTGATCTATTCAATAACATTAGGTTAGGTCAGGAATGGCTTATTATTTATCACATATCTTAGAAAAATAAGCTACCTCACAGCACGTTGTCTCCGGCGAACCAACGCAGCCAGAGCGACAGCCACGTATCACCGCCTCGTATGCGTTGCCCTTCGCTATCACTGACGTGAAGCATTTATCGTCCACACTGTGGCACGTTATTGTATGCACTCTACCGAAACATTCAATTAATGAAATCAAAACTTATAGTTAACAAAGAAATTGACACTCCACTTTGACTTGATGAACCGTTAGATTTTAGTAAAGGTGGGTATATAAATTACCTGTATTTTGTGGGATCTAAGCATGCTTTCAATGGTGCTTCGGACTTGTAAGCGCACACATAACACTCTAGAGCGCGTTTGGGCGTCGTCCTAGACACGGGTACGGTCTTTGGCGTAGGTAGTATGGCGGGCGCGCGCCTACCCGGCCCCGTGTCTGACTTCTCTGATGCGTCTACGTCATCCTCTTCCTCATCTTCGCCTTCTTCATCGTCATCTTCTTCCTCGTTCCTCCTCCGAAAAGTAATCCACGAGATTTCGTTACGCTAGTTTGCTACGATAGTACAAGTGTTGCCATCTATTGGTCAACTCCAATATAAATCAATTGCAGTAAAAAGCCGTTTTCACTAAATATAACATTGTATTTTAAAATTGTGTAATACTTACAATTTCAATTATGTTTGTATTATAAATCAATCGAAAAGTTTATAAAGAAACTCAATTAAACAACTATTAATAAAGTGAAAGCAAATTATTTGTAATTGAAAGTTTAAAAAAACCTAACCTATATGTCTAAGAAATATGTGAACTTTGGTGACAAATCAGATATGTGGAATTTCTTAAGTTACTAGCTGCTTGAAGTTTAAAACATTTTATACAACCGACTTACGGCTATCACATTGCTGTGCTTGGATAAATATAATTTAAATTTATGACTTGTATATACTGACCGCTATAATAGGACTGGCCATAAAATATTTTTGTGCCAACTTTCGCCATTATGATGGTCGCAGTTTGTAGCCGTGGTATGGATTACTACTAATAATATAGACAGAATTAACCGTCACGTAACTTCGACAAGCGTAAATTAAAGTTACAAAAGCTGTAATTTCCAAGCAATCCCCTATTTATAGATGTCATTGGTTGTATCACATGAATACTCACTCATCATCGTCGTCGTCGTCTAACTTGGGGTGGCAGCGAGTCGGTAGGAGAAGTAGCATGGCCAGCAACAAGAACATGCGCCACCTCACCATCGCACACAGTATAATTTTATCTTGTACCTGTATTACCCCCGGTTACACAGTAGATTTGTCATTTTCATACAAAAATTTTTACACTGTAAATATTGTTGGGATAATCCGAAAATTTTTGTGATTGACAACATACATCAACAGATGTTCATTTTTAGAATTGAATTATTTCTTTTTATAGCTGTCAATCAATCTGGTATATCCTCTTTCATGATTGTGTCATGAAGTTTCAACTTGAACTTTCAAAGATTTGGTAAAGTTCATAAAAGTATATTATTGGTGCAATCTATCTAATATTTTTACGCACGTTAGTTATGACATAATTGACTATTATGAACCAGCATTCATTTATGTATAAAGTATAAGAATTAAAATTTTTCTAAATAAAGTAGAAATTTAAAATCCTTTTTGCTAATACCTTGACTAGCGACATCTCTGAATCTTCTTTGAAACCAACTTTTTATACATAGATGTCGCTGTCGCCGAAGAAAATAAACACTACGAAGTAAAAAATTAATAAGTATAAGATTAAATGACAAAATTAATACAATCCTTTAAAAAAAACTTTATTTTATGTAATTTTTAGGTATACATACAAAACGATTGTCTATATTTATGTAAAAGGAAGTTTTTTTTTTATTTTTGAAACGCGTTTTGTGTTGTTTGGATTTCGCATAGAAATAACGATACGAAATAATATGAAACCAAGTATTCAATTTCTCAACCTTTGGTTTGTGTAGAAGTATAATAGAAACACAATATCATACCCATACAATACGTTTAAGCTCGAGCTGATGGCTTTCTGTCATCGGCAACGTTAATAAACGAGGAGCCTAAACGTAACTCTTTCAATAGGCACACATACGCGCCTACGTCGGCGCTTTGCGTCGCTCACGCCTAACTGGGGCTCAGGCGGTTATCGCAGCACAAAGCGCGGGGCGGCCTATCCAGCCGCAGAGGCCCGAATACACGACCTCATTAAAAAATGAAACCGCACAAACATCCCCCGACAAAACCTCCAAGACTCGTCAAAGCGAAAAGCGCTACCTAGCGGAGAGTAGCGGAACTACGCCACTCGCAAAACCAACCTCTGTACTTTTTTAATTAGCCTCATACAGTGAGTGAATGAGTGAAATACGTAAGAATTTTTTTCTCTCGTATGCGGTTAGTTTGGTAGCTTTGAGTGGAGTATGTTAATTCACAAGTAGCCTCACTCTGGTGCTTTTTGAACTGTTCGGTTGGGGTTCTCCCGAGTGCGGAATAAGGCTTATGTGTAACTTTAAGCGCTTGTAGAGGAGTTAATTAGCAGGGAATTTGTTATAAATAAATGGAACAGTGTCGGCGCCGCGTCGTATTGAAGCTTTATTTTTAGCTATAATTATTACATTTAATACAATTACTCAAATTAACCGAAAAACTTGGTGGTAAAATTTTCTTCAATAACTAATTTTATGAGAACATTTGACCCGTTTTGTGTGATTTTAAAGATAGTATAGTTTATTTATAAATAACCTATTTGATATTGTGTACTATTAATGATAACACACGGAGTTCACTAGTTCGCAGTCTCTTTTTGCTAGCTGTAAATCTACAACAGACATAATGTAATATAATGCATGACCGTACAGATGTAGCTAGGATGGCGTAGTGAGTTGGCTGCGCGCCTCATCTTAAACTTCTTTTATCTCTCAGTCTTGGTTCGTTCAAAAAGTGCAAACTCTGTACAAAGTTCACTTTCGCCTTGTGAACTAATTTTTCGCTCGGTGTCAAGTTCACGGCTGCGGAGCGCGGGTGCGCGGGGCAGTTCCGCGACGGGGGTGCGGGTGGGGCGCGCGGGGGTGCTGTGATAAAATAAAATATTCATTATGATTGCTCCAAGCGGCAATGTTCGCGGGTGCTGAGTTATACTTGCCTCATCGCTTTTTGGCTGTTGAGAAATTAGGCCACTAAATATCTATTAAGAAAATGACTTCATTCAAGGCAATAAGACCTTATTAATGAAGCATACTAATAATAACAGTGGGTAATATTCTAATTCTTTAACTTCGGTTTTCTTTAATCTAGAAGTAGATAACATGTGACGCGCTTGATAAAATTAATGTATGACATCACCATCTAAAAAGATTAATGTAAACCCTCCTCGAACTACACATATAAATTTAGTCAAATATTCTCGAGTGCCAATATGTTTGACTCCGACTATACAGAAATAAGACTGACTGAAAACTGACGTAAAAATCTTCCCCGACCTGCCTCAAACAGTGGAAAGTGAATCGCGACCGTCTACACTTTGCTTAAACATTTTCTTTTTCCTCTTTCTGCTTAATTAGACTATTAATCCGCGAGCTTTCAGTCCCCCTCGATCTTACCCCCTCCTCATTACCATTCGCCGCTAAGCCTCTGATATTTTTAACAACTTTGTTGCATAACTTGTTGATTGTTATTCCTTGGTCACGGTTCAGTACTCTGTAGATATATTCAACATAGCTTTTTCCCGCGACATAAGGCTCCCGGTTAAATGAAAAAAAATCTTAATAGCCTATGTGTGCTTCCAGATTATGGTCTATATATATATATATATTGTTGTAAGTATTATTCATCTATCCTTGACACGACAGATCGCCAGGTTCCATCCACACCACCTGGATGGCTGGCGTTCCACAACGGTGCGAATCTCGCGCAATTTCTTGCCTCGCACAGTCGCGTTGTGGAACGGTCTGTCCTCGGCAATATTTCCAAACCAATACGACTTAGGGACCTTCAAGAAGCGAGCATACCATTTCCTTAAAGGCCGGCAACGCATCTACAGTTCCTCTGGTGTTGCAGATGTCCATGGGTGTCGTTGATCACCTCGGTGTTCCCGCCGCTCGTTTGCCCCCTTCTCTTATAAACAAAAATCCAAAGTTTCTCATTTATAATATTAGTAAGATTGCATTTTTGTATATAATTTTTGTTTAGCAATTTTTTTTAGTTTTATTCATAATCTTGTCTTTGGATACGCTACAAAAGTATCAACGTATTAGAATAGATGTTTAACATTGTAAATACATTAAAATATATTTCTGATTGTAATAGCCCCGTTATAAAATTCTAAAACCTACAAATATATGTCTACAATCCGCAAAAACATGATTTTTCATTACATAATCAAAAAAGAAAACACTATGCAATTATTCATAGATTCTAATTAGAAATTGTCCACTTAGAACTTTTATTGTTTTCGCCTATCTTATCTTATTTGAAAACCAATACCTAGATTTTATTATTATTATAGAAAAGAATATTTGTTGTAAATAACGCTATTGATAATTTTCTTCGTTTGATTGTTGGAAATATTTTTGGTTTTGAGTAGACGTATACTCTTTTACTACAACTTCCAAGTTTTAAAACTAATTAATTTAAACATATTGTAAGAGACTATTTTGCAAACTCATTTCATGTAACCGTTCCAGTATTTACTAATTAGATCCACAATACTAAATACATATGTACATTTTATGTCACGTCAGTATTTAAAACTTTATCCATCTAGGTGCTTTCGTCTTATTACAATTCTAAGTTTAAACATCTAGATTTCTCTGCGTTTCAGCAACTAACTAAACATTCCCTAATTTCATACCCCAAGAGACTATGAACTAACTTCTAGCGCGAAACGAAACTCAGGCGACGAGGATGAACCATTTAAGTTTGATCCGTCATCTCCCTCCTCCGTGCTCCTTATCGTTTATTATAATGATAAGACGTAAAGGGGTGGATAGGTCTGGCTTAGCTGGTGTTGTCAAATACATACGAACACGATGCTGACAGAGTTAACATCCAACTTATTAGACGTTTCGGAAATTCGGTTTCGCCTCGCCAGCATCACTGAGTACCACTAGTGATGTAACTTGCGCATTGTATATCGATAAATTAAATCGGAGTATTTCAAAATTGTGGACAGCAAAAACATACATATTTTTTTATTTTATTCAGTAGTATAAACAATCAGAATAATCGCTTGGTTTAATTTTGCACATAAAAATTTGGACTCATATTAAAAATAATGTTCCTTGTTTCTAATCACTATTTAATACTATTCTTAAGGGCATAGCAATGTATAGTAATTTAACTTTGGATTAGTTATCTCCCATAGAATATTTGACCTTGAAGCTAAAAACAGGACAACTTATATACTTTTCAATTCCAAATAATATTTATTATTAATTTAATTAAAAGATAAACATCAAATTAGTGAATATCGATACCAGTAATAAGATATCAATAACATCACTAATCGATATCCAGTCGGTAATGCAAACGTTTGTACTCAGCTGGCCCGGCTCCGCTCGGGGCAAACACCCGGGGTAAATAAACCCAGCTAGAGAACTATGTACATACATGTACATAGATACGTACATAGTTCATACGTAGACTCACCACGTACGGCTCGCGAGAGCCACTCGTGCACGTCACGGATTAAACTAAACGAAACGAGATCCCACTGAGTAGATTTATTTTTAATTTTGCTTTTTTATTTTGAACTGACACGCCATCCGTAAACGTATTTCGTAGTAACGTTTTTTGAACGGTTTGATTTTCGTTTTATCTTTTTAGAACAGTTTCAAAGTTGAAATCATACTAAGCTAAAATTTTTTAAAGCTTTTTAACTTCTATTTGTAAATCAACCTCCGAAAAGGTTCGCATACTTTTCGCTACTACTTCCCGTAATTTGATGGCAACCTAAAATTTCATCGGTAATAGAATTGAAACAATCAAATTATTCTTATTTTATGTAGCTATGAAACAATTGTAGTGTATTTCAGTACTTCTTATTAGAATTAATACCATTTTATTCCTAAAATATAACTATGAGTTGGATAGATAACTGTGACAAATCATGATTGGTAAAGATATTAATAACCAGAAGGTGAACCAGCGTTAAAATGTATTTTATGCAATGTAAATAATTGTATAAGTTAACTTCTTAATCTCATTTAACAGTACCGTAACAAAAAAAAATAACTGTCGATGAAATCAATAAGTTCAATACTAAATAAACAAAGCTTTTTAAAACAATCGGAATCCCAGTTGTGATTCCTCAAGCGAACGTTTTCATTTCATTCAAGGACGTTCTCCAAAGTATCCACAGTTTCACATATTGTGGTGAGTACAAGAGATTTA